TCGGGAGGGAGGGGGATGATTATATATGATTATACATAATTATATAGAACTAACGACTCTCGCGACTCGTTTCTCTAACGAGTTGTAGGAGATAACGGAAATTCAAAAACGCGAGGACATCGTGGAAATGAAATTTCCAAAAATCGAATTCCGTGCAATACACAATGCAGTCGAGAGCGCGGGCGAGGAGGAAAGGACAATTTTTCCGATCGACTTGCCGTGCTCGCGTCTTCCCTCTCACGCCCTTTGATCGGACCTTTATATAGTGTCAGCTGACTATTTCAGAGTGAGAGAGAGAGAGAGAGAGTCGAAGGGATTTTTGGACGGAGACCAAGCGCAGAGACGAGCAACGTGAAATATTCATGCACACGGTGCACTATTCACGGACGTTGCCCGTTCCGACGTCTGGGCGGCGGCGGCGGCGGTGACGCAAGATTCATGGAAACGCATGACCCTGCATAACACCGATCACCTTAAGCCAATAGCCCCAAAACGAGGTCTTCGTCGATCGAGAGAACACGATCGTCAGGCCGGGAGTCACCTCGGCATTCGTCTCATCATCGCATTCACACTGAAAGACGCGGCGCGTACACTGAGAAAAAAATGTCTTCAAATTTATAAAGTTATAAATGAATTTTACTGCATCCAAACAAATTTCATCATTGCTCCAAAGAAACGAATGTTTCAAATAATAAATACGATTGTTGGACTTTTCAACGAATATATATCTATATCTTAGATAAAAAATTTGTTTGAAAGATAATTTCTGTATAAAATCACCTGTTTTATTTAACGTATTTATTGTAACCCAGTAATATTTTATTCGGTTAAAATATATCATTTTAAATAATAAGATTCTTTCTGTTAAATACTAGAGCTTTCTCGAATCTAGAAATACTAAAGCTAAAGAAACCTTTTTCTCTGTATACGAGAACGACTAATCGCGCGATCTTAAATTCTTTCGTCTCGTTCATTCGGTTCTCACTCGATCTATTCAACTTAACCTGTCGGCTTAATGCACACTGAAAAAAAAACATATCAGGCGAAAGGAGCCGAGCTCTGAGTTGCGCAAATTTTATCGCTCGTACTGCAAGCGAGTCGAATTGAGTGAAATTCTAGTCGAATCGACAATCTGATGCAGGAATTTGAACTGCGATATTTAGTAAACGGTGAAAGGTTAACTGAAACTAAGAAACTGAACGTAATTGTACGTATAAGTGTTCTTTCAATTATCAAAAGATTGATCTAACTGCATAATATTCGATAGAATTATATGAAGCCACCTTTATAGTGAATCTATGAGAATTTTGCGGCAAATTTTTAGTAAAAATTACAAATTACTTTCTCTAGTAAAAATTGTAGAATTTTATTAGAGAAATTTTATTATAAAATAGAAAATTATAGAATATTATAGAATTTTGTAACCAAGGAACACATTTTGCGGTAATTTATTATCCTTCCGTTTCACGTATGCTATTTATATTTCAGGAACTGGAGAATTTATGCGAAAGAGAATCCTATAATATTCTATCTGTGTAACTTTGGTAGACGGTCGAAGTAAATTAGACGATAAATATTGATGATAAAGCTGACCCGATAAAAGCGTCGGGTCAGCTTTCCGGCCGCCTCATTGAATCGAATTTTAAGCTTGTTTTGCGCAAACAACAGATTGAAAAAGCCATTTTGCCGAAAACAGTGTGAGAGTAGTTTGTTCGCCATGGACGATCCTGAAATTGAATTTGTTTTTAGCTCACGACTCGAATTGTTTTTCAGTGAATCTTCACAGTATTTTTCACAACATAGCCTCGAGAATTCTGCTCAGGCGAGTTTCGACTCGCGCGACGTTTACTACGCGTTTACTCCCTTCCCCCTTTCGATAATTCCTCACGTTTCATGCTTTACGTTTCACTTTATCGCTGAGCGAAATGATCAAACGGGACACATTAGTTCTCTTTTTCTCTTTCTCTCTAAACATCTGCTCCGCGATGATGTTTATCTTCTTATCGGAGATTCTTATCAGAGTGCTCCGCGCTTACATCACGGTTTTTCGCGGTTAAATAACGAAAGGCTTTGTGTAACGGAACTTATTAGTATACTCATCGACGATTCACGGGAATTACGCGCTCCGCCGCTCGAACAATCGCTCGCCGATCGTCAATGAAGGTGATGATCGAGTGAGACCGTGATTAACGATTCCTTGAATCGCACGATTGAAATGTAAAACACTGCGTTCCGCGTATATTTGGCATCACGCTCGCAGACTTGTGATGTACACCCAGTGTCACATATGCCTCCAGCCATTATAATTAAGGTTACTTTCCAACCTTGCATATACAGGATGATCAGGTGATCTGGCACGTGGTAGAAAATCAGGAAACAAGCTCAAGACACGTGTCTTCGGCCCGCCTTGCAGAGTCCACCCCGTCTTATCGCATGCACTCATTTTTTAAAATGAATATTCCCTGATATGACTTGTTAATTCCCTGAAGTATCTTCACTCAATAATAATAATTAACTATTGTTAAACAATTTGGCTCTAAATGTTCTTATTTCCTTTCTATCGTCGTTCAATCAAAGAACTTAAAATCCTTGCATTCTCAACTAATATACATGTTTTTATCGAATAATAGGAAAACGGCAGTAAAACGAAATTTTAATATTTAATAAAGATAAAATTGTAATAAATTTTTAATACTTAATATCAATTTAATTTAATTATTTGACATTAACGTATATCAAGATTATTTTCTTCTTTAATTAATATATATATATAAATTTATATGAATATATATAAATATATACAAATTAATTGTAATATTCTAATAATTATCGTGCCGTTTGCAAACTGGTAAACGGCTTTGTTGCTCAGTTCCACGAATATTATATCTGTACACGAGCAGATACACACATTGTGTCTGACACCTTGCGTATAAAGCATAAGATCGTGTTCACAACCCATGTTATAATGGCCCGACACACGTGATGTCGAGTATTACACTCGCGGTGTTGTTGCTTCATGCCGTAATTGTATCTCGCAAGGGACAGAATCCGCTAACCTCGCGTGACCGGGGTCTTCGGCAGAGCGATCGATCTCGGATGCTGGTTTCCCAGGAAAAAGTGCGCCGCCCGTCCCTTTAAAAAACAAACGATTATCGTATCACGTTTTAGCGGCCTGTCACGTGCTGCTTATGTGAGCAAAGCGGCGTTGTTGCTTCTTTTTTTTCCAACAGGTTCAGATATTTCACGAGCTAAGATTAACCTCGGCTCGCGCGATTTCACCCTAACGCTAAAAAGGTTTTCAAACAAACCCTTTGATCAAGGAGTGCAAGAAACGAAATATTGTTGTTGTTGTTATTTTCGTTGACTCGCCGATAAAACATCATCGTGGTCGATTTTTCAGAGCGTCTGCAATTACAATCGAATTGAGTGAGAATAGAAGAATCAGATCGACAATCTGACTCGGAATCTTGAAATATAAAAATGTAAAACTTAGTCTACGGTAAAAAGTTAAACGAAGCCGAAACGCTCCGCGTCTTACTTAATTTTATGTCATTATAACATTTAATATGTAAGTTCCCGATTTACGCGCGCGCGCGCGCGTGTGTATATATATAAGTGTGTGATTATCCATTTTCATCATTAATTATCAATTTCACGTTGAATTCTTGAAATTACGTTGAAATTACGCAAAATTACAATTTCAATTCGCCAGCGACGTCCGTCTGAAATTAATTCATTTAGTGTCCTCAATTTTACATTCAGTCATGCACATCGTCCTCCTACATTTTCTATAATAAGACGCGGGTTTCCGCGGCGCTAATAAGGAAATAAAGCACCGAGAACGGTTCGGATATACGGCCAAAGGATCGACGTCGCTCCTTACGGGGGCGCTTTTGTAATGCTCATTTATTCCGCCGGTATTACAAACGGGGTTCTCCGTTCCTTCATATTAAGAATTTCTTTGCATATAAGCTTATTAATATCCGACGAGCAATTATACGTCGCCTTTGGTATTTTTAGCGAGATACGCAGCGACGGTAACCGATATACGCAGACTGTTATAGGCGGTTAAGTGCGCACAACACGCATTAATAATTCATTGCACGCGTGGGATTAAGAGAGAATCTCGTGTTCCCCTCCGCCCTCTCTCTCTCTCTCTCTCTCTCTCTCTCTCTTCCTCAGTTGGAATTCTCAAGGAAGTGGTTCGTTCTGATTTTCCTCGCAGGCCTACGATTTCCTGGTCCACCGAGTTTAACCCCCCCCCCTAAGGGGGTGCACTTCAAGAATTAAATTGACCTTGCACGCTGCGCAAACCTCTCTTGTCGCGTATAATATCGCTTTAGAGAGAAAGAGAGACAGAGAGAGGGAGAGAGGTGTTTTTTTATTGCAATTTTTATCTCAGTCAATACTTTATAATACTTATAATACTTTATGTAACGTGTATCTTCTCTTTAATCCCTTCGTACGGAAATCTGCGTAAACACATTTCGCGCCGGATCTTCGCTGCATCTTGTCAACTCGAATCGATAATTAATGTTACGCGGGCGCGGTTAATAAACAGTGTTATTTACAATATGCTGCGGGTGTAATTGTAAAAAAAGGACGCTGCTTTGCGCGCGTGTGGCAATTTCGTTCGCCGATTTTCATCCCGCGTCGGCCTTCGGGAGATACCCGGTGCAAATAAATAATACAAAGTGGAGGGGAAGTATTTTAACATTTGGAGGGAATCGTGCTTCTCATTACCACCGATCGCGGGAGCAAAAAATTTCGCTCAATGGAACTGGGCGGGGAGAGAGAGAGAGAGAGAGAGAGAGAGAGAGAGAGAGAGAGAGAGAAGAAAGTTTCTGCGCGGTAGGAGTTAAAAATAACAGGTAAGAAACGCGACGACAAGATTCGTCGGAAAATGCGGCGAGTGTGCAGTCAAGTACGCGCGTCAATGGCGGACTTCGGCAAGGCCGAGGATCGCGAATTTTTCCCAACGGTCCCCCCGAGTGTCTCCTCTCTCGGCGGCGGTTCTCAATGACGCGGCGACGCGCGACGAAATTAATCGAGGAAGGTCGCGGATATTCTCGCGTGCGCGCTTTTCGCCCACGACGCTCGATAATTCCGGGCCGGTAATTTGCGATCCGTCCGCGTGATTTCTCCGCTTAAAAGTTAAACCTGAGATGAGAGCGCGGCATAAAATCGGGCCAAAAATTCACGACGCTCCGCCCGCGCTGGAGTCCGCTTCGTTCACGCCGGGCGATTTCGGCCGCATTAAGGAGCGCGTGCCAATTAAAACGCGCGTGAGCTGCCAAAGTGAGCCACCAATTTTACACCGATCGTTACAGGAAAATATATATTTTATGCGTTACCTATATGTATAAAATAGTGTAATATAAAGGTAAATGTAATAAAATAAAAGTAAATGCAATATAATAAAACAAATTGCGTCACTTCTCTGTTTATTGCGCGTACTGTTTGCACACCGTTTATTTTTTTCATTTCGCGTTTATTTCCACGAAGTCTTGATATATCGTCGCTTTATATCGGGCATTGCGCGGAAATAATTCCGTATGCGCGAAAGGCTTCCGTCGTATCCCCCCCCCCGCTTACTGTATTTCCACCACCGCTTGGCCGCTTGGATTCGTATCGATCATCGATGCGACTTAACATGCTTTTTGCGTGATTCGGAAGCTTTTACGCGATGAAATCGTACCCGCTTGTACCGTGGAACCGGGAGAAGCCCTTCCTCTCATGTATGCACGCGAGAATCCCGAAACGCCGAGAGCTCTCTCGCATACGTACGGCACGTACGTCGCAAATCGGACCGATCGATAGCATCAGGCAGGACGAGACGCAATAACGTTCATTTGCATGTTTCAATATGTATTTACATTAACGTTTTGACCTTAACTGTACTGTTAACATTTATTTGCATCAAAAGATGGACCAAATTGGCGTGAACCTCAACAGAGAATCTAATAGGGGAATGGTATTAAAAAAATCGAAGAAATCCAAGAACTTTTGAATAACCGAGTTCTCTCCGAATGAGACGCGATAAAATTTGTCCTCGAACAAATAATATTTCGTAATAAATGCACGTTGCTTCTATCAACAAATCTCAATCGGATAAATGGAAATGCTAAATCTAAAGAAACTCTTTTCTCCGTGTGCGACAAGAAGTGTCCGCACGGAGGAAAATCATTTAGCGGGACGGCGAATTTCGCGGTCGTAGTCGCGAGTAAATGAGTGCGCAGGAAGTTTCTTAAGTATTGCCCAATATTGTGAAAGTTGATTGCCGAGGGGAATTTCGCGAAGGAAAGTTCACATGAACGTTCACATGCTCGTTTCTCCGCAAAGCGATCCCCGAAAAATCAATTCCCAACACATTCGACAATATTTGAGGAACACCCTGTACACTGACTTCGCGCGGGACAATGTAATTTGCCATCCTGAATGAATCCTCTCCGTGCGAAAATAAAGTTCAAAGTGGCGATTCCCCTTTCCCTCCCGGAACGACACAGAATGCGCGTTTATAGTCCGCCCGCTGTGCGGACGTCGAGGATGCAGCAGCGAGGATGAAACTGCAAGTGTGCTCGATCCCATCGAGACCGCCCCGGTCGGGGCGGAGGAGCGCCTCGGGTTAAGAAATAATAACCGGCCGTCTGCTCTCCCCGTCGGGGAGGGAGAGAGAGAATCTCGAGAGTAAGTGGAAGAGTCCAATTAAAAGCACGAATTTCTCTCTCTCCGTCCAAGGGCGGGCGCGTCGCGTCTGCGGAAGTTTCGTCTGACACGTAATTCCGAATTCAGGAAGCAGTTACGGTTTATCCTGATAATATAGATTCGCTTACGTTAGATCGGCGCAAGAGTAAACACGCGTAGAAAATCGGGACGCGCGCGCTCGTGGAGTAGCAGTATTCGATTTTCGCGAGTAAGCTCGGCGACGCGCTTTATAATTTATTCTCGCCGCTTGCGTTCGCGATGCATTCGAATGCGCTTCGCTCTTGCGTAATTCACGGCATTAAGCTTGATACGCGCCGCGACACAGAGCGGATTTTCAGATTAGAGACAGAGAGTCAGCTACGATTTGTCGATTTATTCGGCTTGAGCAAGCGTTGTTGCGTAACAACGGTAAATGGTGACACTCGGCGGATAAATAACTAAAAGACGGCGCGCTGGGCTCTCAGAGAGCAAAAGAAGAAATAAACACGGAGAGGGAATATTGTATAACTTCTTTCTTGTAGAGATTCTTTTCAATCTTTTTTTTTATCGTCTTTTCTAGAGGCGCCAGCATAAACTGTGTCTCGGCAAGAAAGAAAAATATTAAAAAGTAAAAGAGATTTTTTCGCGGCGCTCAATAACATGTTTACACTTAAATCTGAATTTTTTCCCGTGTAAATAGATTAAATAATCGCCCTTTCGTAAAAAGATATGGTTTTAAAAGATGTATATTTTCTTATTTAACAAACAAATTAATATCTACCTTGAGAGAATTTCACGATAAAAATTACCAGAGAATTTTATAATTCGTAAAAATATCGACATTTGCCTTAATTTATTATCATTTTCGCTTTATATTTTAAGAACTGAAGTCTACTATTAAAATATCTATTATGTTCCTTAACAAGATGATCTCACTTGGAGAACAAAAACGTCTAAAAAATAAAATATTTATTCGTGAATACTAATAATATATATTTGTATTGGTGTATTTGAAATTTGTTTCCTGAATGCAAGAATATTTGTATTGGTGTAAACAAATATATATTATTAGTATTCACGAATAAATATTTTATTTTTTAGACGTTTTTGTTCTCCAAGTGAGATCATCTTGTTAAGGAACATAATAGATATTTTAATAGTAGACTTCAGTTCTTAAAATATAAAGCGAAAATGATAATAAATTAAGGCAAAATGTCGATATTTTTACGAATTATAAAATTCTCTGGTAATTTTTATCGTGAAATTCTCTCAAGGTAGGTATTAATTTTTGCATGAAACGAGCGATCCGACGGGTGTTCTTGAAATTTAAAAAAACAGCATGCCTGGCGCAAAATTATGGTAAATTATGTTTTAACTATGCTCGCGTGTCTAACTATTCATGCACCGTTGAACAACGCGTTGCCTGTTATCCTTCGGTTGGCTTGTTCTTCGTGGCTCAGTTTTTGCGTACAAAGCAATGAGATTTATCAGCGCGAAATTTCACGTGACTTTTTGTTGCTCGTAAAACGGTGGAAAAACCCGGTCACAGGGATTAACCACTTGCGCTATAAAGACGTGCCACGCACGTCGAGATGCTCTTGTTCCAAAACCGCCAGCGACGTGTATACCACGTCGATAGGCATTTATCGCAGAAACAATAATGACGTGTCCGTCACGTCGGCTAACAATTAGATCGTTCATTACTCGAGCTACAGTTCTAGAGTGCACGGCATCGCATAGTGTCATCGATATCTTGGAAATATTTCAGAATCCATACAGTATGTCGTTTGACGGATTTTTTTACACGAAAATTCTTGTAGTTTGCGATACATCTTATTATAACGCTGAAAAATTGAATAATAGATTTTTTTTATTTTAGTCATATCAACCCATACTGTAAAATGGAGAATAACAAGAATCTCAGTGATATTGCTTCGACAAGTACAAAGAGAAAGCGATTCATTATTACGTCTGATAGCGATATAGATAACGACTGCGAGGAAATTGTTTATCCTGTTCGGAATCGGCGTAGAATTATAGCATCTGATAGTGAAGAAGAAAGTGGCGGTGCAGATCGTGAAATTAGTTTTACATCTGATGAATGGTTATGGAAAAACAAGGAAAACGAAAGCAAAACTTGGCAGTACTCACGGATTCCTGGAATGAACATAGAAATGGGAGAAGGAATCACAGCTTTGCAAATGCTAAACCAAATTTTACCAAGAGACTTTTGGAATATCATTGTTACAGAAAGCAATCGTTACGCGAGTCAAACAATAGGAGATGCAACCCGAACATTAAAACAATCTGAAGAAAATTGGAGGGATACGAATATAGATGAAATTCATGCTTATTTTGCGTTATGCATTTTGATGGCACAAGTGAAAAAGTCGAATGTCCAATCCTATTGGTCAAGAAGAAGTATTATCGAGACTTCCATTTTTCGGAAAACAATGCCATTACGGAGATTCGCGCAACTCTCCCGTTTTTTACACTTTTCCAATAATGAAGTTGGAGATAAAGATGATCGTTTATGCAAATTACGAGTTATAATCGATTATCTCAATGAAAAATTTACAAGTATTTATACTCCCGAGGAATATGTGTCATTAGACGAATCTCTCATGAAATATACCGGTCGAATGTCATATAAACAGTTCGATCCGTCAAAGAGGGCACGTTTTGGAGTGAAGTTTTATAAGTTGTGCGAGTCTAAATCAGGATATTGTATGAAATTTAAAATATACACAGGTCAAGATACAGTGAAAAATTCAATCACCAGTGCTTCCGAAAATGTTACCATGTTTATGTGCACACCAATAGCTAATTTCGGACACACCTTGTTTTTGGATAACTGGTATTCTTCGCCAAACCTGTTTCAAAAATTGCAATCCATGCAAATCAATGCCATAGGAACAGTAAGATGCAATAGAAAGAATATGCCGAAAGAGCTCGCAACGATAAAGCTGAAACAATCAGAAGCTATTTCAAGATCGTGCAAGGGTATTTTAGCTGCAAAGTGGAAGGACAAAAAAAATATATATTTATTGTCCACAAAACATAAAAAAATTGAAATGATGGAAGTGGAGAAGAAGAGATGGAAAAATAATATCACTATTACAAAGCCCAATATCGTGCTGGAGTATAATGATGGCATGGGTGGGGTAGATCTCCAAGATAGCTACTTATCTTCTTTTTCACTTATGAGAAAATACATAAAAAGTTATAAAAAGATATTTTTTTACCTAATGGATATTGCACTTTTTAATGCTTATGTTTTATTTTCGAAGAAATCGAATATATCAAAAAGCAAAAAATACACGTTTTCAAAGTTTCGATTAGATGTGGCAGAACAAATTTTAGAAAGTGTATGTATGCCTGAATACAGAAAGCGTGGAAGGCTGTCTGCTAGTGATATACCACTTCGTTTACAATCAAAACAATGGGGCCATTTTCCAAGGAATATTCCACCCACAAAAGCTAAAAAGAATCCTCAAAGACGGTGTAAAGTGTGCGCCAAACATAAAAAACGCAGCGAGACTACTTGGGAGTGCAAGGAATGCCTTGTGGCATTACATATTCCAAAATGTTTTGAAATTTACCATACAAAAGTAGATTATTAATTAATAAAATGTTATTGCTGTCGTAAGTATTGAATACATTCATATCCGTGTAAAATTCTTTATGTAAGACCCTACCAACGCGCTAAGGCACTGCTTAAAGGTTTGCACTCGCAGACGCGGTGCGGCGTCAATGTAACGCCTTACTGCGTGTTATATTGTAGAGCGCGGCAACCGAAAGTTAAATCGTAGCGCAAGTGGCGCGCAAGCCGGCTTAATTTCGGAGGATAAGAGTCGAAGGAAAAGTCGACCTTATGAAGTTTCTGGCGCCCATCAGGTGTCAAATTCGTTCGTTGAGATAAATGTTCGCTGTTATCCTTTATCGTCTAGTCATTCTTAATTATTTGAGAGTCTTTGCATATCCTTATATATCACTCAAAATAAAAATATTTCGGTTGACTCATCTACAATGTAGACGCAATTAGACGTAGACGACATTATCGATTGGACGTGAAATGTATCTCTCGTATTTCGTGAATGAAATCTTTTTCTATAAGTAGAAAATTTCGACACTTCTCTCTCTTTACTTGAAAATAATGCAGATTAGACAGAGCTAAAGATTTTAAGAGTGGAAAAAGAGACCTCTCACGTTCTATACACACGCAAAAAACTCGAATTAAGAGAATTCCCCCTGATTCTGTCCGAGCTAATTTCATTCTTCTCGCGACTTCATCAAAAAACCCGATCACATTTCACTTCGCCTGAAACCGCATGCTGATCGTACTGCTCTCTCACAACACGATGGCTATTTCTCGTTTGAAATATTGTGCTCTCTAATGGTTCTAAAAATAGAACAGGCAAACCGGTGGTCGAGATAAACATACCGCTCGTTTCCGTCGCCAGCACAGTTACGTAAGACTCCCGTGCGCAAGGACTTCCGCGCGCTTTTCTCGCCCTCTTTTCCGTATTCCCATGCTAAGAAAAAATACCACTTACCAGTCGGGGAACAGCACCAGCGCCTCGGCGAGGATGTCCCGTAGGAGAGTGGTCGCGGGTGGTACATGCGGCAGAATGACCGGCGCGAAGACACCGCAGACACCGGCGCTTCGTCCATGTCGCGCCTCGTATCTGCTAAGATAGATCGCCAGGTAGCCGAGCAGACGGTAGTGGGAGGAGGGCAGGGTCGACAGCAGCTCTTTTGTCGAGGTTATCCAGGTCTCGTGATCGTTCGCGTAATCCTCTGTGTCAGATGAATTTTTCGATTTCAGCCTGAGCTCGGCTTGGGAACGCCGGCGGAAATTGTAAAAGCAGCATCGCGTACTTTCTGTACTCTCTGAACTTATCGAAGTGAAATCTCTCACTTAAAACGAGTGAAAATTCACTCGAAGCGACAGTGAAAACACCACCACTCGAATTCGTAAGAGTGAACGTTCGCTTAAGCATAGAGCGGATTCTGACTCCGTACGAATGAATGTTTCGATCAGTTATAATAAAATGAATTCGTTCCTGTAATTATACAATTATAAAATATAAAATAATACAATTACGGAATCGTTCTTTAATTTCGAGTGAATGTTTTCACTCGACGATGTAAAGTGTAGAATTCACTCTATTCTCATTCTACATTCTAACATGAGTGAAAGGCCATTCGAGTGACTCGGCTGTCATTTTATTTTTCGCGGGACTTTTCATTCAAAGAAATTTAGAGAGTCAAATAAAATCGCTCTAATAAACTAATAACGTAAACTAATAATATACTCGCTTATCTCCGAATTTTATTCTGAAAATTATCGGTCGGATTGTTTTATTACTGCGCTGTATACCGCGTTGAATGAAAATTGCACTAAATTAAATTCGAAAAACGATCGAGATCTCCATCGGATCTTTTCATTAGGGGCTCGCAGAAGTTTATTAGATTCTTAACCATATTTCTTTTATTAATACGTTGATTGATGTTGATCTGCACGAAAGCTTAACTGACGATCCAATTACCAAGCATACGATAAGTAAATTCATTCGAGACTCATATATTCGTTACCTCGTTTCGTTGGCTTTCCATTGACCGACTAACCGATTTTTTTAATGCAATTATAATTACAATTTATAATTGTATAAATGCAATTATATTCCATACAAAGTGGGCCATAGTACGACCAGACTTAAGTTCGTGGCAATTAGATGAGACATGATATTATTTTTCACAATTATTCTTACAAAAAACCAACTAAATAACATTTCCAAATTTATCGCTTGCTTTTATCGAATATCTCCGAAGAGTTGTGGAAAATAATAAAACCCGCGGTTGCGACTATTGGCTCATTCGGCACGCAATTTAAATGAGACGCGATAATGCCATAGTATCGATCACATCGACGCATTCAACGTGTTAACGGTAATGAAATAATACATGCCATGTTCGATCAAAGTATCCGTCATCATTATCTACCACTTTCTGCCACCACTTTAACTAGCAAATTCTATCCGATTCCACATCTGCGAAGTGACCGATCTCTTTTGAGTTTTTGCCGTCGAAATCACCGACGAGATCCAACGAACTTTCGCGAGCCCTTAATAAACTCCGACGCGACAATGTCCCGTCTGTCCATATTATTAGAAGCACTTTAATTTTTTACATTTCAGTGACCGCAGAAGAACGATCGTGCGAAGACGTTCGAGACATCCCGCGGGGCACGTTCGTGAAAGTCATCTCGTTAGGAAGATAAGGATCTGCGCTTACGGGCGTGTACGTTAAGTAGCCTGCCGACTAGGGTGGACGGTACGACGGGCTGCGGCAGTTCCTTCAGGTACTGCCGGAGAAGGGTCGCCGCGGTCGGAGGGCAAGCGGCGCCTTCCAGGTCGGCGTCGCCCCTCCGCTCGAAGGCGGCCCGCAGTCTCTCCGCCAGCCGAGGGCTGCCGCCCGACAGCCGGAACACGGCCGCGCTCTGGAAGCCGTGGGTCTCGATGTAGCTGCATAGCCGGTGCACCACGTACGGCACGCCCGTGTCGAGATACGACTCGACCAGCTCCAGCCGGGTGCCGAAGATCCTGCTGGATCCCGCGCCGCGGCCCAACAACGAACCCGCCAGGACGCGCTTCACGCGAGCGAGACGGGACTCGTCCTGCAACGAGCCCCGATTCGTACACACGTCTGTACACTGAGGGAAGGATATCTTCGAATTGAATCGATTTTATCGCGTCCAAACGCTAATTTCACCAACGGCACGCTCCGAAGAAACTAACGTTTCGATCGATAAGTGCGATTGTCGAAGACTCGTCAACGAATATATATCTTTATCTTGAATAAAAGATTCGTTCGAAAGGTAACGTTCTCATAAAGAAATTATCCGTTTCCTCTTACGACATTTATCGTTGCCAAATAACATTTTACTCGGCTGATTATTTCAAATAACAGGCGTTCTTACAGTTAAATAATAGAGTTTTCTCGAAACGTGCGATAATACGATGTAACGTAATTAACGACATTGAAACATTAATTCCGCCCGCTAGCCAGCGTCACACATGTGTGACGCGCTAATCTCTCACCGAGAGACCGAGCTCGTGTGTGCGTGACAGCAATAACTTCTCATTCCGTGTCCACGTAAACAAATTAAGTGTGCTTTACGGTATCGCATAGAAAAATATAGGGTAGCGGACAGTTTTCTAGATGAATGGCAGTAGCGAGCGTGTTAATAATATACATTATATACGAAACAACAAAGCCCCACGTTAAAATGCCGTAAAACGTTCTATTTGCGTGGTGCTTTATTTTCTACATTCATTATCCCCCCCCTCCCCCTACCTCTGTTTTGTTTACCGTCTCCGAGACGCACTGGTGTACGCACTTCAAGTTCAGTTCTGTACACTTCCCGCCCGTCTTATCGGGCGTAATTGATGTTTCCCGACATTTGCACGACATTTATACGGGTCGTAAAACGGATCGGTCGAGCGGCGGATATCGAGAAAGCGTAATTCGCGACGAGGCGGCGGCCGCTAACAGCTGGAAAGGCAGTGAGTGTGCACCGACAAAGTGGAGTAACGAGTAGATATAGGCTCTACATTCTCGCTCGACGAAGGTAGAAGTACCGGCAACGTTTCTAACGTCCGTATATCTCGAGTAGAGAACGAGAACCGCCGCGTGAAAACTAGTGTATCCGTTAAGATACGCAACGGTAGCCGCTATATTGCAGATAAGAGCCTCAGGCACGACAATAACTCATCGTTACACATTATTAAAACGCGAAAGCAGAAGAAACGAAAAGAACACACGCAAAAATCGATCGAATGACAAATATGTATTGTGTAATATTATTTTTATGTACAATCTATCTCATTCTCACGGGAAAGTTTATTATTCAAGTCAATTGTGATTATTGAATGCTTGCTGAGAAATTAGGTTATAATTGATATACGGGAACTTTGTTATTTACTAAAAAATATGTGGTTTTTTGCAGAAAGAAGATACATATTATAGAGAAATATTCTCGCTCGTAATTTTCCTCTAAACGACAGATTCTGTGACAAATGATCAAGGCGACAATTGACAAGATGGAAATTGTTTAAACTGCAACAAAGTAAGAACTACTTATGTGTTGAAAAAAATTACCTTATCATGTGTTTGACGAGAGCGCGTAGGGCTTGTTGAGGATCCATGATGATAGTGGATGTGGTGGTGGTGGTGGTGATGATGAAGATGTTCTTGCTGGGGGCGTCTCATCCCACTTTGTCTGCACCGCGACCCGCCGCCGCACTGACAAAAACGATGAGCAAACTTGTAACTGGCACGATATTCGCGCGTTGACGCGCGCGGGACGACGGTCATTCGAAAGTTCGTCATTCGATGTCGTCATTTCGAGGAAAATTTGTCAGTCGGTTGTTTATCGCGACCGTTGCGCGCCGGGGAAGCGAAGAATCCTTTGAACCTTTAAAGCTTATCCCGTCGCGACACACTGAGAAAAGATCTCTTCGAGCTTAATCAATTTTATCCAAACGAATTACATCATCGGCAAACTCCAAAGAAACTAACGTTTCGATTAATAAGCGCGACTGTTGGACTTCTCAACGAATATGTATCTTTATCTTAAAGAAAAAGTTCGTTTGAAACGAAAGATAATTTTCCTATAAAGACATTATCCCTTTCATTTTACGTATTTATTGTAACCAAATAATATTTTGCTCGGTCGAAACATATTAAACATATTTCAAATGACAAAACGTTCCTTCCGTTAAAATAATAGAGTTTACTTGAATGAGACGACGAAATTTTTACTCAAACTAATAATATTTCGCGTGTTGTTTCCGTGAAACATATTTTCGTCGGATAAATAAAGATACTAAATCTGATGAGGCCTTTTTCTCTGTGCGGAATCGAATTATAGAAAAATGATTTCCGCAAAGAACTAGAGGAAACTGCTCTACTCCTTTGTAAGACTCGTGAATTTGCCGAATTCCACGTGATTTTCGTGAAAACACATTTCCGACGTGCGACGAGAAATTTTCCGGCCGACGGAGATACAGGATATAACCAGCGTCGGTTCGAAAGTATTAGATACGAGTACTTTTTGCGTCAGGTCAAGAATGGTCAATAGATTTCTTCCCCCGGTGATGAAAGACTAGATGAGGACTCGAGACCGCTCTGACGCGAGTCAACTGTCGTGTCTTCGCTGAGGAACGGCGCGTCGATACGTCGACGACACCGTCGGCGGGATACAATCGCGAAGTAACTTCAATATTTTCGCGGGCGCGATCGATGCGAACGACGCGAGGAAGGCGCGTTTCGCAACACACGGCAAAAGCTCGGCTGCTCGCTCGCGCGCGCGCGCTCGAGCCGTAAATGTCGTCGTCCTCGCTCCGTCGTCAATATTCTTTATTGCGATGTAAACAAAGTGATGTGCGTATCGGAATAAAAATTTCGCGCCGCTACGCGCCTCACCATGGTAAACACGCGTCAACAACCGTCCGGGGGTATCGATTTTCTTTTTATGTATATAAATCCGCTCTTTAGAAATGATATTTCCAAGCTCGAGCGAAAATTATCCCCCATTCAGCCGTTCCCCCGTTCGACCTGATCGCTCCGACATTATCGCGAAGCGGTGTGACTGCAAGTTAAAGGAGGTGCGCGATTTAAAAAAATGGTGAAACGAGGCTGTGAGCTGAATTTCATTCTGCCACGGGAGAACTGCGCGCGAATCCTTCCGTCTATCGACTCCCGTCCGAACGCGGGATAATTACGATTTTTCCGCGGTATAAATTTCGCAAAAAAAAAAGGGAGAAAAGAGCAACACACAAAGCCGGTTATCGAAAATAATTCGCCGACCACTGCACCGATGACTGATACAACGCGATTGATTAATTTACCCTGCCACTTTTTCCGCGTGAAAAAAAGCGCGCGCGGTTTCGAGAGAAAAGAGGGGGGGAGGGAGAGGGGGAGGTGAAAACGGACGATCGTGCGAGACGACGGTTGATGATCGCCGGTGATGCTCGCACGCTCGCGACTGACCTCATCGGCGAGAAAATTTTACACGAACGAGATTATCGCGCGCACTTGCGCACCACCATTTTGTGCCAAAATTTCGCAATTACATAACCGCGGGGAGACGCGTGACGCGTCGATCCCGGTATATAAATCTGACACAAATGCGCGGGCCTGTAATCCGTTAATCGTCGACATGCCGGATTTATGACGCAGGTCGGAAAATCACCGACGAAATATCGTTTTCTTCCTCTGCTCCCCTCTCCTTTTTTTTCTTATGTTTCTGCGAGTTTCGAACGTTCGCCGTTTAAGGATTAGTACGACTCCGACTCCGATGTTCGTAAATTTGTGTAATGCGAGGATTATAGAAAAATATGAAATTTGAGAACAAAATCCATCTCTCCATGACGAAAGGCTCAAATTATAAACTTATAAAACTATGTTGTGTCATCTGAGAGGGAAATCATGCACGATCCGTACATGAGCGAGGCTCGGAAAAGACTAAAAGAATCCGCACACCAGAGCGGCATGTGCGAACTCACACATATATGCGCGATTTTCCACGAATGAACTGAAAGTAATTGCCCGTCAGTGATATCGAGTTACAGATGTGTTATTGATGCTTATCATGTTGCATCAAGCGCTTATATTTGCGGCGTGACGCAAAAAGTTTGATTTACCCGTTTGGCCATTCGGCGGTGAATCATGAGGGACCGGCAGATCGAACGATCGGCGATGCGTTAAAACGATCGCCCATACGATTTGTGATTATCAGGCATTGGTCGTTACTTTTCTATGAGGACATAACAGCGCTATAATTAATTAGCAACGAGGCAAGTCCGTTTTAAAAGAGAGAAAGAGAGAATACTCTCGTAATCGTCATTACAGAGGTCACTCTGTTACGCTCGCGAGCTAATTGCCGCTCAGCCATCTGACATAACGAGTTATTTATTACTTTAATTCAATTTCCATCGTCGTGTTCGCGTATAATCTTTATCAAGCGTACCGGCACGCGCGCTGTATCACGCACGATGATCAACGTTAAAGAGAAACACTCACAATACACTCTCTCGCGACCCTCCACAGGTTGAAGTACACCGAGTTCAGCGTGGCAGTTGTCTCGTCCCGCTGCTCCTCCTAGCTTCCCCTCTTCCTCCTTCCCTTCGTCCGGGCTATACGTCGCGAGTATTCGTACGGCGGTAAGCGCCGTTTCTTCCGGGTTACGATCCGTGCTCCTGAACGTCGGCCGTTCGCGACCGGGATGATCACGGCAAGTGGTATCGAGTACCGAGCGATGCCCGTGTGCACACTTCAATTTTCGTCGGGATCACAAAAGCGAGAAGTCGTTTCTCGTGGTACGAGGGTAAGGAACGACGCATGGGGGTATCTGTTTATGTGTGTGTGTGTGTATATATATGTGTCGTGCGTGAGTACGTGCGTGTGTATGATGTGTGCGTGAATGTAAGTGTATATGTAGGTGTGTGTGTGTGTGTGTAGGAGCGAGAAAAGTACTCGCCGCAGAGTGAGTGAGTGAGTGACTGATGTGAGTAAGTGTGTGATGTGAGAGAGAGAGAGAGAGAGAGAGAGAAAAAAGAGAGAAGGGCCGTCGAAGAAGAAGAGTCCTTCGCGTGCGCGTGAAAATTTCTTTGTCGACCGAGTCCTTTTTCTCTACGACAATGGCGACGGCGACGACGACGCCGACGGCAACGGCGACGACGACGTTAAGCGAAGATCGTGCGATTCGACTAGTTCTGGGTTCATGTCCCTATCACGGCACATCGCCCTTTCTCTCAGGCAAGGGCACTGCCTATGGCTGCTTCAGGAAGTGAGTCGACACCAGCCGTAGCGTAAGCATCGAGGGTCGAAGCCGAGGATGAGGTCTAGGTCACCACTCCGCCCCTGGCCCTGGCATGGTCTACGTTCCTCTTCGGACCCTTACTGCAGCACCAGCTGCACTCTGAAAAACAGAACACGAGGGATCGTTACGGGATTGCGATGTACAGCAGGAGAAAGAGAGAGAGAGAGAGAGAAACAAATATATATATATATATATATATATATATGATGTATATATGCGGTAACCGTTCTTTAATTAAATTATGAAAAGTTCGATCTAACTACATAATACGAATAATTTTACTTCTGATTGGAAGTTTAAGTATTATAAATCGAACGATGAATATGACATAACGCGCGTCGAGTCGCTTGACGTTCGCTTTATCGAACGAAACTTTTATCTTATTTTACACGAATGCGAGTGCTGACTTTTTGTATTTAGTTAAATTTCAAAACGTCTTCGGGATATTTCGAATGCTTTTTACCCGTACTTGAATATTGAAAATGGAATAACTCTTATATCATCCGTACGCGCGCAAAACACGAGGCCGTTTGGCTTTTGGACGGCCCGACGGCAAGTAGTCTTTCTCGCACGCTAGGTGATTTGTTGCTAACGCGTTTAGCACACGTGTTATAACAATAGCTCCCGATACGAAACACGTGTCAAATAATTTACGTTTGCGCGAATGTAGGGCTTCCGCGGCGTTATTTTTGCACGCGCGATATACGACGCGTTTAATTGCGGGATCGCAGCCATCGATTTGCGTGCACGTGTGCGGACAACGGTCTCTTTTTTTCCAGCAAAACACATTCCGTACAGTGCAACGTTTGCGTATTTGGAGGGACTTTTTTCGAATATGAATCAATCCTCCCTACACACATACACACACACACACACGTTCATTTCTAACAGAGAAAATTATCTGACACGGAAAGCAGATTCGTACACGGTGAGAATATTACTTACCTCTTTTTATGAAAATTTTTTTTTCAATTTTACCACGTTCGCCAATAGCGCAGGAATAAACTGTCAACAAAGTTTATCTCGCTAAGAGACACACACAGTACATTTTTTTAACGGCAGCTTCTGAAATATATAAATAGCACATACGTAACAGAAGCGTAATAAATTAACACAGTTTGTCGGCGCGCGTTCCTCGGTTACAAAATGCTATACAGGGTGTCCCGGACCAACAGGGGCAAACTTCGTGAGGTGATAGAACGGATTGAAGTGAACAAACGACAAAAGAAATTCTCTACCATTTTGCAAACAACAGGCAAAATGGTACGGAAGATTTTCGTTCATCTCAATCCGTTTTACGCCCTCACGAAGTTTGTCCCTGCCCGGGCACTCTGTACATGTAATTTTCACTGCAAAATTCTCCCCGTGTACCATTGTTACTCGTTGAATCCTTCAATAAATGTATTTTGACAATTAACTGCCGCGCATCGCAAATTAATGCGCTAATTAAACGTCGAATAAGAATTATGCTACTGTTACGCTTCGTGCGCAGAATGGAAGCCGTAGGGGATCGCGTGTAATCCTGAAGTGGACGTGTAACACGGCCCAATTCGATTACACTCGCTGATTCGTTTAGCGCGTCCAGTTGCCGTTGACTGAGGTCGCGTTTGGGAAAATACGCCGCGATCGATCGCAATGGCGAATTGTCTCTCGTCACTATGGAAACTTGCGGGTCTTCTGCTTGCGAGTCGTTCTCACGCATCGCGCAGTCTTTTCGAAAGAAATAACCGCGTGAATCCGTGTTTCGATGAACCACAGACTGTCGAGGACACCGGGAGGTGTTGACGAACGTTAGGTAACATTAAGAGACGAACATGGACGACACCGGGGATGAAACAGAGGAAGAGGTGGTGTTATGCCCTCCCATTTACATTTTGCGCAATAACTTCGTCAACAATTAATATTCTACATTGAGAACTGAACGACTACGTCATAGTATCGTTCAATCGATTCTAGACTCACGAGGGTCGTGATATCTTCTCTTCTAACAATGGGAGATTCATGTGTGAAATATTTCTCGACTGAGATCGCTTCTGCTAAGTCGTTATTGGTTTATCGATATTCGCTAAGTGATGAAGACGATCACGAGCCAAGTTGATTTTGTAAAAGGCAATGATATGGCGACGAGCCGTATTTAATCCATCCGACATTAATGCATCTTGCAACAGAAGAGTGCATAATTAACAGCTGCTATCAGACTCCGTGGTATATGCGACGGCTTATGAATTAATTAACGTTTGTACTCGAGTTTAATCCTGTTAATTAATGCCCATCCTTCGTCCACTTGCAGCGTTCGTCGTCGCAGCCTGGTAACAACAAACGCGCCGATTCTGCTTTTGAAGACAATGCTGATCCGCAAAGGTTCAGGCGAGCCTCGAGCGTCTCAGTTATAATTACACGAAATATAATGTCAATATAATATTTATATTACATATAAAATATGTATAAAATAATATATATAAAATATAATATTTAACTTTCCGGCCAGACATATATTATAGTAAATGTCGAGGAAAGTAGACCGCTGTCGAATGAAATAAAGTAAAAATAATGTAAAATGCTGTAGCTCTTGAGCTCTTCAAGGCACAAGCAATTTGAAAAGAGCAGCAAATGGATGCAACGTTTTCTTCGAACAGAAGAATTTGAAAGTCCTCCATTTTCAGCCGCTGATTACTTTCTACGCCTCTTGGATGTTTGTATCCTTTTGGATAAAAACGAAACGAAAAGTGATACAAAACGGGTATATACAAACGGTATCTAACGGTACGCCACAAACAAACCGTATGCAAAGCCATTTTGCCTTTCTTTGTTCGCGTCGGGCGTGATGTTCGCACCGGTGACGAGCGTCCGCCAAAACGAAAAACCGGTGCTGTTGCATTCTCAAATAGTACCGTTTACAGTTGCTTTGTGTTCCCAAAAGGGTATCTCTCCCCGGGATGTAACCGTGTCATCAAGATTTTCAAAGACCGCACACGACTTCGAAAACAATCTGCGCGCATCGCGCCTGCCTTTCATCTTCTCTCTCTCTCTCTCTCTCTCTGCCCGCCCGCCGAACCGGGGAATACGGGGGAATGAAATCCGCGTAAGCCGCATGGCTTTTTCGCGACGTTAAACCGTACGGCTTTGACAGCCGCGTCACGCACGCGGAAACCGCCAGGCGGGATGTAATATTCGCGAATTACATCGTAGCAGACGTGCGCATCAAACACGTCGCGCCGGCGACGCCGCATTACGCTCCATTTAGCGTTGAGTAACGTCGATCCTTGAACGGACAAACAACCGCGATTCGTTATTATCTTACGTAATCCAGAAAATCCAGAAAAGGTTACATCACGCATTCCACCGTCGCGTCGTTTCGGCTCGGAGACTCGCGAAGTGCGCGGGATTTTTGCCGAGCTCGGCGGTATTTAAAGCTTTGTAGCAGCGACGCGCGGAATTAGCAAGATGTGTCACGAGTTCGGTCGTGAGCTTTCTTCAACTGGCTGCGGGATGCCAAATAAGATTCGGATTCGAAGACACGACGGTTAATTAAGATTACCGTCTGTGAGTACCAGAGATTGTGCTGGTGAATTCGTTGCCCTCTCCGGCATCGAAAACTTGTGGCAGGCTTCGCTCCGAATCCGCTTGCATAGATTTGCGCAATCTGGCTGTTACAAAGTATATTTTATAATATACGTGCTGTGTAACGCTGTTTCGCTTTTCGAAGAAATCCTTTTCTCTCACGCTGAGTTTCTTGTCACCGAGTTCTCATCTGATTTCTCCAGTCGCAGGGACTGAGTTCCTTTTCTCTGTGTGGGACATCGTGCTTACGATTTTCCCAGCGAAGGGATTAATTTTCACCGCTGCCCGTCGAATTTCCGTATTCTTTCAATCGCACGACTCGATTCAGCGTCGACAAGCAGTTTTCAAATGCGATTAAGACGGTGGCCTCGCTCGCTCGGGAACGCCGAAAGACGGCCAGAAAGATTGGTCGCGCGATCGATTCACCCGCGAGACATCGTGCGTGCAGGCAACGGTGCATGCAGCGTCCGCGATCGATATTCCCCGCGAGGATAAGGTGGAATGAGCGTTTAATTTCGTACGGAGCGATCGTTCCGCCGATGACGCGCCGATCAAACGAGAAGTGCACCTGCGGGACGTTCGTGAAACGTCGATTGTGCGCACTCGACGCCGAAATAATGACGAAATATCCGAACCGAGATATGCGAGATATAACATATATTGCATCTCAGTTTGGCGGAGAAACGCTGCACTGGGAGAAAAAGAAAGAAACGGTTGGTCTCATAAAAATTACAGTTGTTTTCGGCGCCAATCATAACGTTTGTCGTTTTAACGATGAGGTGCAGCGTTTGAAAACTTAATGTAGAACTAAAATTTCGACCCGGGTGTTACCGGTATAGCAGCAGTCGCTACGAAAATAACTTCTCTGACTAATTATTTCACTGTGTTATTATGGGTCGCGCATGCCAAACGCTTTTCTCCCGGTGTGCGTCGTCTGCGAGACTCGTTCTTCGCGCGCCGGCATAACGTGACGAAGGAAACACGACGAAAAAGGACTTCGGAAGGATCCGACGAGAAGTTACGACAATTTCCATTTGCAGTTTGTGCAACGACTCCGGCGAGCTCCAGCAAGGGGGAAAATTCAAGCGAACTCTACGAATAGCGGAAGACGGAAGGAAGTTCTCGCGAATTACGAGGAGATCCCGCGAGTTACGGATCGGACGCATCTTTCCGCTACTTTCGGACGCGAATTAATACGCGTCTCGATTTCTTAATATAACACACGGAGGAAAAGATTTCTTTAGATTTATTACTTCCATTTATTTGAAATGTACACCCGTACAAAATATTATTTGTTCGAATAAAAATTGTATCGTCTCATTCAAGAGAACACTATCATTTAATAGAAAAAACGGTATTATTTGAAATGGTATCTTTTCACCGAATAAAATATTATTTGGTTACAATAAATATGTAAAACGAAACGAAATAATGTCCTTATAAGAAAAATTATCTTTCGTTTCGAAGAAAATTTTAAATTTAAGATGAAGATACACATTTGTTGGAAAGTCTGACAATCGTACTTATTGATCGGAACA